ACTAGCTAGTAATTAAAAGGAAATTAACAACCAAAAAGAAATTTGTTTGAAAAGAATAAACATGTATATAGCATTTCAAACTTAGAACCTCTCGTTAATTTTAAACAACAAAAACCTTTGCTCAAATTTAAACTCTTATAAAAAGAAATTCGTAAAAGTTGAAAAGTTAAAAAAACATTTTTAGTGTTTGAACCTGGGACCTGGTTGTTAATTTAACAACACAAACCACCACTTATGGTCAAACTTTGTGATAATTTAACCAAATTTTATTAATTTATACTCTTATGAAAGAAATTTGTAAAAATTGGAAAGTAAATACATACACATGGCATTGTGAACCCAAGACCTCCTCATTAATGTCAAACAACAAAAACCACTAGCTCTAATTAAATTTCTTTTTAATTTAGCCAAATTTTAAAAATTTATAATCTTATTAAAACATATATAAATATACCACCCTGACAAATTTTGGTGCTCCCAATTTTTTTGGGCTTTGGACAGTCGCCCAGCCCGCCCTATTGTCTAATAAATCACATGAAGTATTGATTTATCACATGATCAGAAATTATCATGCAAACTCCTGCTATCTCACTAACCACACATCAACCACTCCCTTTGAACCTATAACTAAACACCGTGCTTCTTCTTCCTTCCCTTCCAAGCTACCATATTGCCATGGTAGATCCTACTATAGTTCTCCGTCGACCCCACCGATCTAACCCCATCTCCTCCTCTAATCTGACTCCTTCCTTGTCACTAACTCCTTCAACAACATACATTTTGTTCAATTTCGATCTTAAACAAAAAAACCTAATTCATAAATTTGTTTTCTACGACTTGGGTTTTGATTTTGAATCGACCGAGATAAGATGAGATTTGGGGTTAGCTTCTTGGTGCTCGTTTCGCTCTGTTTCATGGTGATACCCTAGTGTAGTAAAAGCTGCGGTGAAGCTCTAGCTTCGATAGAGTGGAAGGCAGAAGGCTGGGCATATTGGCTGAGGGAGAATAAGGGTGTTTTCAGGTCTCTCCTCACACTAGGAGATAGTAGACCCTACCTATCCGTTATATCTATCATTTTATTTTGTTTTCTTTCCACTGAACCCTGCATCAGTTGGTTCTTAGAGCCCTAATCAATTCTTAGGTTATTATGTTGGTGCTGTCAGGTTTTTATGAAATCGATAATTTAGTCGATTGAAATTCTCTACCAATTTATGATGTGTATGATGAAGATTGCATGCTTGTGATTAAAGTAGCTAATGAAATTCAATTTACTTTGCAAATCCAAGCTCATTGTGTTGCCGATTGGGATTCTGCCCTGATTCTGGATGAATGTAATGGTCATGAAGATTTGGGTTCAATGGTTGAGGTGCTTGCGGTAAAATATGTTCTACATTTCTATAACTTTTATGATTATGTTTCGGAATCGTTCATTGCTTGTCACGCTTCAAAATTTTACTTGGAGAAAAGAAAATTATCACATTGTTCGAATTATGTCTACACTTTCCAAAGTCAAAAAATATCAAGATGTTTGCTAGAAATTGTATGTGCAGTCAAATGTAATTTATGTCATCAAGAAAAGATTAAAGTCCAAAGGAACACGAGAAAGTGGAGAAGAATGAAATTATTCGAAATTTTGTACTATTTGGATATGTTGATGCATGCTGAATTTGTGGTTCTTAATTGGCTATTGTGGCAAGTACTTGTTGGGTATGCGAAACACAGAGGAAGACCAAACAAAACTCGAGGATAAGTTTATTCGAGAAGAACAGATTATGTGTTCCATGATGGGTTTCTCTTTAAAGGGAATCAACTTTGTATACTTGAGTCTAGTTTGAGGCTATAGATCATACAAGAGTTACATAGCGAAGGCCGCATTGGAAGGGACAAAACCTTTACACTTGTGTTTTTTCTCATTTCTGGCTTGCCATGCGCAAAGAGGTATATTGTTTTGTGGAACGATGTCGAATCTGTCAAGTTTCTAAGGGCAAGGCAACGAATGCTGCATTGTACATGCCACTACCCATTCCATCACAACCATGGGTGGACATGAGTATGGATTTTGTTTTGGGTTTGCCTCGTACTTAGCATGGTGTAGACTCAATTTTTGTTGTGGTGGATCAGTTTTCCAAAATGGCTCACCTTATTGCATGCAAGAAGACAACAGATGCTTTAGAAGTTGCTAAGTTATTCTTTTGTGGAGTAAACCGACTTCTTGGATTACCAAGTTCGATTGTTTCAATCGTGACACCAAGTTACCCAGTCATATTCGATGTGTGCAATATGAAACACCTCATTCCATACAAAGGGGACATCAAGGATACTGGAAATGCAAATTCAAGGGCGAATTTTCTCCAACCCGAAGAGGATGATGCAGATCAGTTGGCCAGTGCAATTATTGAATCATTGAGATAAAATGAATGACTATAACCAATAAGAAGAACTTAATAACATCCATTAGTAGCTCCTAATAATAGCTAGGGCATTTTGGACGTTTTTTGGCTGATTGAATTACTTTCTTTATATAATTTTCAGTTTTTTTTGTCATTTTAAGTTTATTGCCTTTTTAATTTCTGAATGTATGTTACAAAATGGTTATAAATACCACCTCTTTTTGTAAGATGGAGGCGTTTTTGTTGATGAATGAAATATTTAGAGAGATTTATATCTCATATTTTGTGCCTTTCTCTTGTTTAAGAGTTTGCTGCTTTATTATTTCTAGTGTCTACATTGTAGGCTAGTACTAGAACCAAAGTTCTTAGGGTTTTCAGGTCGCATTAGGAGATAGTGAACTCTACCTATCCATCATATCTATCATTTTATTTTGTTTTCTTTTCCACTGTACCCTGCATCAGATGAACAGCGAAAAAAAAAAAACAAATGGAGACGGACCGACCTCACTCGATCGGCTCTCGCCAGCCAGGCCTCCCGCGCGCCACAGCGCATAGCCACAAGCAGCATCAGGGCCAGCCCGGATGCCCAACCTTTGTTCCAACCCAGTTAAGCTGCGGCATCAGCTCCTAATGCACCTAGCAGCGGCCCACGTGCTGCCATTTGAGAAGAACCAGGGGCATGATGAAATCGAGGAAGGAAGAAGAAGGAAAATTTTCAAACCTGAGATATTTTCTATGTGAATTCTCTACGCAATTTAAACAAGGGTCATCTCCTATTTATATAAATCCTTGTGGGGAAATAAAAAGGAAGTCTTTTCCTACTAAGATTTTGAAACCTACCTTGTCTTGGAAGAAAAATCATATGTCAATTGGAAGTACATCACTTTTTGTTTCCTACCTAAACACAAGTAGCTGTGAAAGCATTTGTGAAGATATAAATTAACTACATCCAATAGAAGAAGGGCACGTTGACTATACGCTCACTATGACAATTTTACCCTTGGCATCGTGAGCAGACCACATACCATTTTCAGGAACGTGACATCTGTCTACTCTCCATGAGTGATCATGTCACTTGTCTATCCTACAAGTATTAGGCCTTTGGTTCACCAATATATCAAAGGTGTTTCGAGCACATGATATGTCCTGCCAATAGGCCATAACCAACCCCATAATGGTGGGAAGCCGACTCTTCGGAGTCTCCTGTTTGGTGTTTGGCTGCCTATGCTCTTTCCAATAAGGACCTTCAGGACTACTAGTTGGTTGGACTACGGCGACTGGTCCGCACCATCACTAGCAGAACATTAAGGTCTGCCTGGTATGGCTAGCAACGTCCCTTTCTAGCTGCATGATAGGGTTTAGGTATATAAATAGCTAAGTCAAACATGGAAAATGGTAACCACCACTTGCTACTCAAAATGCTCTCAAGTTGTTATTTTCTCCCAAACTACTTTTCTGACTCAAGCATCAGAGGCCCTTTGGGACACTCTCCCCTTTTTTCTAGGTGTTCGTCAATTAAGCTAACGATATTTGTGAGTGGAATTTTGTCAATTCAACCGTATACAAAATTTACATCCACATATCATAATAATGGTCAGTGTAGTTTAGAAAGATCCCCTTTTATTATTGTGCAGGAGGTGAAGCTCTGACTACAATATGAAGAAAATTATACCTACAAGGTGGTTTAATTGATCCTTATCAAATATGAAACTATGTGAAGCATCCTAGTAACTTGAGGTTCGTGAATTAGGTTTTATCAACTCGTCTCTCTATGAATAAAACAAGGACCTCAATAGTGCGGGGGACAAGTTTCTAAATTGAGAAAGATCATATCACACTTCTTAATGATCAAAGATGTATCTATAAAATAATTGTGCCTTTTAATGATTAAAGATGTATCTATAAAACAATTGTGGTGCTTCATGTATTACTACTTGCTTATTTTTTGCTTAGATATGTATGTAGAACTACATGCAAGAACTTTAGGCCGGTCACGGTTTAGTGATCTTATTTTCTATTAAGCATCTACATAATTGTCTCATTGTTCATGGACTTGAGAGTAATGACTCAACTAATTGAGTATATGTGGTATGCACTTGTCTTTCCAAATTATCAGCGTACATATGATGCTCCTATAAATAGGTACAATTAGAATATGACAGTTGCATATAGGAAGGTCTCTTGAATCTAATTACTTTAGATCGTTTCTTATCATATTGACATATTCATGATCTATAGACTTCACTATTTAGGTAAATAACTGTTACCGAGACAATATGTTTTATAATGTTATTGTCATTTGATTAACACCCTTTCGAACCTCTATCCCACCAATTTGAGCAGGCATTCCTGTTGAACACCGTCAGCGCCGCAGCGCCGCAGCGCCATGGTATTGGTAGCAAATTGGCAAAGCTAGGCAGAGAGTGAGTGAGTGAGTCATCACACAGGGCATGTTTTTATAGGTTACACCCACGTGACCATCACGTTCATTATTTCCGTCCCTGTTACGTGCCCTTCCCTGCGGCCAAACCCACCCTCGATGTTGTCTCTCTGTGTTTCTTTCAAGAAATTTTTCATTGTTCCCACAGCACGCTAAATGTCACCATATAATTGAAAAAAAAAATTATTTTTTTAAGTTGTATCTTAGCATGATATGTATGATCCGTTTCGAAATCATTGAAAAATCTCGAGCTCTCAAACGGGCCAACCTGGACACGCAATAGTAAAGACAAAAACGCCAAGAAAAAGCAAAGCACAAAGCACAAAACCCAAACCCAAACCCAACTCTCTCTGTTAAACCCCTTTTAACTTTCATCTCTCTCTTGCTTTTTCTCTCTCTAAGAAAACAAACAGCAGAGAGACAAAGACAAAGAAAGAAGAGATGGGTGCGGTTTCGAAGGAGGCTCAGCTTTCTATAGCTGCCTCTTCGATGTTTCCGGGGTTTAGGTTTTCACCGACCGACGAGGAATTGATTTCCTACTACCTTAAGAACAAGCTGGAGGGACCGGTGCCCGGGAAGAGCGTGGAGGTCATCTCCGAGGTTGATATCTGCAATTTCGAGCCCTGGGACTTGCCAGGTTTGTTGGGTTTAACTCATTTCTTTTGTTCTTCATTTTATTTTCTGAAATTTTTTATTTTATTTTTCTTCGAGTTTTTAGGAATTGGGTATTGTTTGTGTACGGATATGAAGGATGAAATTTGTTTTTGGTGTTTTGTGTTTGTGTGCTGACAGTGACAGCGTTGAATTGGGTTTAGTCAATGTTTTTGTCACGTAAAATATGAAAGAGATGTCGTTTTCATTTCTCTAATATTCCATGTTGGTTTGTACTTCTTGCATATAGATGGGAGGATTGTTTGCAGAGTGACCAAGAACCCTGCTAAATGGGCATTTCTCTCATCCGTCCCCCCAAGAGAAATGATCATTTCTCTCGGGGTACGGAGGAGAGAAATGATCAACCTTAAAGATGGAGTGATTTATTCTAAACCTTCATCCCCGAAACAACAAAATCTTAGTGGATGTGATATCAGCAACAAATGTCAAAAGAAATCTCTTCAGCTCTAAATATCTGCTAACTTGAACAATTTTCAATAATGGTGATATCACATCTCAGAGCACTAAAATTCAACAAACTATCCGCCTTAAATATATTCAACTTTCTGACCTAAAAATCAACATGTTTTCGTAAGGGGGGTATTAAATAAAAATGTCACTTCTAAATATAACCAAAAGTAGACAGATTTAAGTTGTAGCAATTTTAGCCATCTCAGTTTCTACAGGCCTCTTTTCATTTTAAGCCGGGCTATAACCCTTGGAACTGCTTGGAGCTGACTTCAATACAAATTAGGTCTGAACCTTGGAACCATAAGATTACATGACTACGGTTTCTCAATTCTCCGTTAGTTGATAGGATGTTATTCATGTGAAACTGATAGCTTTGAATAATTTGTAAATAGTTCTTAAACAATGAGAAAGCGAAGCTTATTTCAATACTCCTAAATTCCTTTTAGTATGAATGGAGGGGATTCTGTATATAGGTTCAATTTTATGTGACAGAAAAAGAGTATTGGTGATTGAGATAGCGTGCAATGGTTTCTCGTGGTAAACTAGTCACATTCCTATGATGAGTAAACACAAACATGCATGCAGTCACCGTTCCCCTTGGTCTCTAATTTTCATTCCCCAACTATTTTTGACTTTCAAGGTACAAAGTAGAGTGGGACTGCAAGTATATGTTTACATCTGTATGTCTCTCCACATGCAGGTTGTGTTGAACTTAATGGAACATGTTGAACTTATACATATGTTTTGGCCTCTTATCTAATAAATTTTGTAAATGAAGGGGACAAATACTGGAAATAACTTTGTTGCAATTTCTTTGGATTGGAGATGGAATATTGAAGTATAGGCTTTAGCCTAGTTAAAAGCCAACAAAGATGATGACTTTATTTAACTGACAAGCTGACCAAAAAGAGGTCAAATTGATAGATTAGTGTATTTGTATGTTTTGGAGTCAATTGGCGTTAATCAGGAATTGTATGGAATGCGGATTTATAAACATTTTGGTTTTGAATCCCTGTTTGAGACAATAGTTCTTGTATCGTTACAGAAGGTTGGAATTACTTGGTTAAAAGAAACTATTTCTTGGGATCAAGTCTTGCAATGAAAATTTTGAAAACCTGTGCAGTTCTATGCACGAGAATATTATTGGAATTCCTGCACCCAATTTTCTCTCAATACACTATAGATTTGCACCCTACTCTACAATAGCCTCCGACAGTGTGTCTGAGAAATAGCACCCTTTACTTCAAAGGCTGAAATAAGTTGAATTCTATTTGCTTCCAGAAATTTAATCATGGAGAGCTATGTTGGTTCTCTCTGGTTTTTATTTGCGTAATATGCTGTCTGATTAGCACTACCTATAATATTTGTTTGCTTTATGTGTGGTGATTTGACAAGCCTAACTGTTTAAATTCTCTTTGCAAACAAATAATTTTTCGCTGGGTTTGACAGTGTTTATCTGTTACTAGCTAAATCTGTCATTCAATCGGAAAATGAGTGGTTCTTCTTTTCTCCACGAGGAAGAAAGTACCCAAATGGATCACAAAGTAGAAGGGCAACAGAATTCGGTTATTGGAAGGCCACAGGAAAGGAACGTAACGTAAAGTCAAGTTCTAACATTATTGGTACAAAGAGGACACTTGTGTTCCACATAGGTCGTGCACCAAAAGGGGAAAGGACAGAATGGATTATGCACGAGTACTGCATAAATGATAAACCCCAGGTGACTTTTGTCATTATTAGTTCAAAATATTTTGTTAGTTATTTGGTTTGAACTATCACCATATGTGTATTCTTCTGGGAAATGGAAGATTAAATTAATTGCCGTTTCCTCACTGTGTCTTCCCATATAATTGCCTTCTCCTAAGTAATACTTTATTAGAAGCTTCATATCCCATCTAGTTTGTTATTTTAAAGTGAATGTTATCGGAAGTGAATATTTAGCCACAGACATCTGACTCGACCTGCTTGGTCATCTGGAATTGGTTCAAGATTATTTACTTGCTGCATATTTTAGTTATATTGAAAATAGTTTCTGATTACATCTTCACATTCACTTATGCATTCCATATATATGCACATTCTGATTTCTTTTTTGCTTACATGTTCTGCCTGCTTCTATCTGCAGGATTCTATGGTTGTTTGCCGCCTCCGGAAGAACAGTGAGTTTCGTTTGAATGACACCACAAACCAAGGTTGTTCAAGTCGAACTCCTTTATCAACTATGCAAAATGATGGAAATGCCGTCTCTGAAATTGGTAATGACCAAGGGGATAAGGCAGTTGAATGCAATTCGAAGAAGTCTACTAGCAGTCATGATTCTCATTCTATTGAGCAAATTGATTCTGCATCCGACTCCTACCCAAATCCAGTAACAGATGCTATGCAGACAGACTCTAATGGGCACCAGAAGGTGGGTTTGTTTAATCTTATCCTTCTTTCTTTCTATTAATTTTTCTGTCATTGTCGTTGAGATTAACTCAGCAGCACCACCTGCAAGTTTACAAGCTAACATACGGAGAGTATCATTCAGTAAGAAAAGGAAAAAAAATAAAAATTAAACACCATATAGCGAGTTTCATGTTCCTTTATCTGGTCGTGCAACTTTTTAGTGCATTCATAAATTTAATGAGCTTGCCAATGGTCCCATACTAATAAATATAGCCAACGGCTGGTTTTGTGTCAGATGGTTGTTCCAGAGGGAGTTGTGTTTCAGGTAGTTATGACAGTACCAAAGCCGCTAAATTAGTGTCTTCTAATCCCTGAAACCGCTAAATTAGTGTCTTCTAATCCCTGAACTGACATGAAATTATTATTTAGCGGTTATGGGAAGGGATCTAAAGGATGGCGGTGACCAGTGACCGCCTGCAAGAAGAGTTCAGTCGTTTTATAATTAGTGATTAATCAAATGTCTTTATACTAAGAAGTGCTCAGTCGTCTTAGGGTTCTGAACAATACTTGGTCGTTCTGTTTTTACCACACTTATTATTCTTTGAGACATTATCACGGGGTCCAAGAATCCATGCATAACTGATGGTGGTTTTGAACTCTATTTCTATATGGTAGTCCATTGGGGGTCCAGCTCATGAATCATGATCATTGTTAATTACAACTGCAGGGTTCTTATGATGAAGACTTGTATGCGGAGATACTGAACGATGATATAATCAAACTAGATGAATCTTCCGTGCCTGCTGCTCATATGATGCCAGTTGTTGCCAACAACTCAGATGCTGAACATCAATCTCAACATCATATGCAAGCCACTTTGTCGCAAGCAGTTCCTTTCCAAGGTACTGCAAACCGAAGAATCCATTTGAGAAAGAGAAAGGAAAAGTTTTGTGCAGAATCACAGAACTCTTCCAACTCAGAGCAATCACGAAAAGCTTTAGTGAATTGGATGGACGATCGACATATGTTATTATATGTATTTTTTGTTTTTCTGGTACTGCTGGCTGTGTTTCTATCCAATTTTTGTTTTCCTGATGTTGCTGGCTCTGTTTCTGCTCGCTTTGGAAGGATCCTGGCAAGTCAAAAACATCACATGTAAGTGTTTGCAAAGGCTTTCTGCCATAAACGCTAATAGTAGACTTCTTTTTCTGGACCGGGTTTTGATTGATCCGTGTTTACATTCGAGGAAAGCTTAACGATGGAAGGCTTCGGCCCTTTGATCCACGACGTTGGCGAGTCTTCCGTAAGGCCTTGCGCCTCTTTCTTCGTTCTGTTTTACTCCCTTACTCCTGCTTGATTCCATTTCTCCATTTTTTGCGGGTTTTTGTCGTGCGATGATCCTCTCCTTAAATTAATTTCTGACTTGGGATCGTCTCGTTCCTCCTCTTCTCATTAGATTTGGCTCCTTTAAACTCTTGCGGATGCTGTGGCTTTCGTACATCATAATTAGGCATCGACAATGACACAACTAGACCGAAAAACTTGACCCCAAACGAACCACTGCAGAATTTTCCAACAACCTTTGGTGGAGAAGTCTAAACAAATTTTGAAACAAAAGAAATGTTGCAAGTGTACTGGTAGTCTCCATATTGTCTATTTTCCTTTTCAAATTTCGGTATGGAAAAAACTATAGGAAGAAGTTAAAAACCCTCATATGAACCTTTTTAGTTCTTTCAATACCTGAAAAATTTCCTTTATCTTCTGGTCCCTAATTCGAAATTTGGATGCTCAATTGTTAATGAACGCCAAGTAAAATAATTACCTATGTAAAGAAGGTTGCGGAGATTAACTTTTGTCCCTAGCTCGATCGAAAAATTTGAACCGGAGCGCTAGAAAACTAGCGATCATTGAGGACCTCTAGGGTGTAAATGAGATAGAAAGTATGATAATGGGGTAAACTATAAAAAAACAAAAAATAAGTTTCTGACTAGCATGTGGGACCATGATTTTTAAAGACTGAATCAGACTGAATCAAAGGAAAATTGAAAACAGAGATTGTAACCCTACAAATTCATCAATGCAAATCTACTACTTGTACACGTGTTCTCGTTTCATTTGTTATAGAATTTTCATGTTTACAAAGTTGTCTCACATTATTACTAATGAAGTCAATTCTGGTAAATGGAAACCTGATAAAGCTTCTAAACTTGGTCCTAGTGTCTCTCACCTTTTTTTTTTGCAAATGATCTTATGCTCTTTGCAAATGCAACACCAAAACAAGTTAGGGTGATGAAGAAATGTATTGACAAATTCTGCTTAGCATTTAGCCATGCAATCAACTTTGAGAAATCTATGTGTATTGTTCTCCTAATACTTGTGCAAATGGGGCTAGAGAAATCAGTGCAATTTATGGTTCTCCTTTGTTTGATAATCTTGGAAATTATTTGAGGATGCCATTGATCCAATGTAAAGTCTCTAAGTCAACTTACAAGGGTGTGATTGATAAAGTTCAGAGTAGACTTTCTTCTTGGAAGAGTAATGTCCTTTCAATGGCTAGAAAAGCCACCTTGATCTAAACAGTCGCCTCTGCAATACCGGTGTATGCTATGCAAACCACTAAGCTCTCGGTTAGTGTATGCGAGCATTTGGATAAGTGGAACATAAACTTCTTTTAGGGGGACTCTCAGCAGAAAAAGAAAATTTATTTCTGTCAATGGAACCTTGTTTGCAGGCCCAAGTGCATTGGAGGTGTGGGATTAAAGAAAACAGTAGAGATGAATCAAGCTTTGTTGGCTAAAATTGGATGGAGAATTCATGCTAAGGATACAAGTTTTTCGGCAAAAATCTATGAAGCAAAATACTTGCAAGGAAGCTCTATTTTGGATAATAAATTACATGAGAAGTCTGACTGCTCCCACACTTGGTAAGGAATTCTTTATGGAACTGAATTGTTGCGCAAAAGAATGAAATGGAGAATTGGGAAAGGTGATGGTGTCAAGTTTTAGAAAGACCATTGGGTGTTGAATGATCCTTTAATTAATTATATTGATGCTAATAATTTCCTCAAGGAGGACTTTCCAATCTCTTATTTCCTTAGGGATGGTTGGTGGGACGTTAGTAAGCTAAGATCTGCTCTTCCAGAATACTTGGTCTAAAAGATAATCAGTTGGCCTGTTGGGACTATTGGTGCTAGAGAGGACAGACTTATTTGGGGATGCACTTCAAATGGAACTTTCACTATAAAAATGGCTTATAATATGTTATATGATTGTGAAAAAAGGCTTGTGTTTGATTGGCTAAGGATTTGGAATCTCAAAATCCTTCCCAAACTGAAATTCTTCCTTTAGTTCATTGGTCAAGGTAAATTACTTACTAATGAGCAATGAACCAAAAGAAACTTAACTGTGGATTCCTCTTGCAACCTTTGTTCTTGGCCTTTGGAGACCATCATGCATATTCTGAGAGAATGTAGCAGAGCTAAATGCATTTGGGATATTCTTCGGATTCCTTTTCACTTGTGCAATACTTTTAATTTGGACTTGAAAGCTTGGTTGAAGGCTAATGTGATGTCCAAGGTAATGTGGTCTGACAAGAAAGCATGGAATTGTTTGTTTGTCTTTGCTTGTTGGTATATCTGGAAATAGAGGAACCACCAGATTTTTCCTCCCTAGTGATCCTAAAAATGTTATTGTTGGCGTTGCTTCTGAATTGATGGATTCCCTTCTAAAAATTGATAAACCACCTTTTCGGATGCATGTTATGTTGAAGTGGGAGCCTCTTGTTTTTGGTTGGCACAAGTTAAATGTGGATGGATCTAAGTAAATGGTTCCGAGTAGTATTGATGCTGGAGGAATTCTCCGTGACCACAATGGTTATTGCTTAGGAGGCGTCTCTGTGACATCCCACATTGCCTAGGGGAGTGATCCTTATATGTATATTCCCATCCCTACCTAGCACGAGACCTTTTGGGAGCTCATTGGTTTCGGGTTCCGTAGGAACTCCGAATTTAAGCGAGAGGGGGGCTAGAGCAATCCCATGATGGGTGACACATTGGGAAGTTGCTCGTGAGTTCCCAAAAATAAAACCGTGAGGGAATGGTATGCCCAAAGCGGACAATATCGTGCTACGGTGGTGGAGCGGGCCGGGGAAGTGATCCACCCCGAGCCGGGATGTGACATTCTCTATTAATCTAAGGCAAGGGCAGATTATAGAAGCTGAAGTTTGGGGATTGTATTTCGGACTTCAGCTTGCTATTGAAAAAGGCATATCTAAGTTAATCATCATGATGGACTTTTCCTCTGCTGTATTATTTTTGAACCAGTCTGTGCAAGATACTTTTCACCCCCTTGGTACCCTTTTGAAGAGTTGCGGGGACTTGATGAGACAAATTGAGTATTGTGAGCTAAAGCATATTTTTAGGAAAGTGAACAATGTTGCAAATCAACTAGCCAAATGGAGCTACAATATGGACCTTGGATTGTGTTCTTTTCAATTTCCTCCCCAATGGCTTATGCAACATCTAAGAGATGATATTGTAGGTGCCCCTATAGGCTACTCTCTTGTTATTAATGATATGTATTAGTTCGTCTAGGGTGTCTTCACCCCTATATTCACCAAAAAAAAAAAAAGAAGTCATCTGGACAAGTTTTGGAACCATCTACATAACACATCAAATCATACCTAAGAATGAGGGCATTAAATTGAGCCTGCCAGGAAGGAAAATTGAATGGGCCGAGTTTAAGCTGTAACTAGATAACGACAACTGGGCAGCGACATTAATAGTGACTAGGGTTGGGTTGTTAGTGGTATCAAGAGGAAGACCTGTGGTAGGTGAAGAAGAAGGTCTGTGGCAGGTGAAGAGGAATAGAGGTACCGTTTGGTACGTGGGACGGGACGGAATAGAGTGGGACAAGTCGTTCCGTCCCACGTTTAAAACGGGTGGAACGAGCTGTTCCACGGGACGAGTTTTGGGTGAATTTTCGTTCCACCTCACCCCTCTGGAATGACTCGTTCCACATCCGTGGAACACAAAATTATAACCTCTCCGTCTCCTTCTTCTTCCTCCTTGTTTCCATCCGAGGGCATCTTTGCTCCCGCTCCGTTCCGTCCCGTCCTGTCTGCATACCAAATGATACCAGAGGGAACTGGAGTCGTCACCCATGAGGGAAGAGACGGGGATCGAAAAAAAATGCTTGGTGCAGCTTTTATTGCTCTAATACCAGATTAAATTTGATATGACGGATTTCATATTTCATTCATTCCCAATGTACAGTATATAGACAAATACATAGACTAACTACAAATACACACCAATATTTATTCATACAATGAACCTAATGTAGAAAATTTAATGAATAATGAACCTAATATAGAAGATTCAAATACACACCAATATATATATATATATATATATATATAGTTTTTTTTTTTTTTGAATAAACGATATTATCTACACTAAGAGGAGGGGGTGGGCTTAACCTTATAATGGGCTAACAATAATGTGGTTCAAATTCGCTTTTGGCGAAAATCGAACTTAACATTTCTCATTTACAACTGAAGAGGAATACCACTGGAAATTTGAAAAAATAACAAAAATTTGCACCTCATATAGAATTAAAATCACCTTTTTAATTTTATGATAATTATAACCAAAATTTGATATTAAAGTACTAATATACCCAAACAGTTCTCCAATCAACTCCACTTCTTTCTCTTCCATAGTAAACCATAGATCTCTTCGACTCTTCCTTCTCTAATTTGGTACTTCTGTTCTGCTTATACAATGAGACCCAAAGAAATTGACATTTTTGTTGTTTGCTTTTGGAGTCACAAGTCTGGATCATACACGTGGAAGGGAATGCAGCAACATAAATTGATTTGGGGATGAGTTTTCTTTGCGTATGGTTCCGTTTTCTTTCTAGGTTTTCTCTACACCCCGTAAATATCCAAACTTCATCCGCCTTCTGATTATCCCTTACCAAGTAAACATGCCCTGAGCAAAGCTACATTCGGGACAGGATTGTAAACTTGGCTTTTGGGTTTCATTTGAATTCCTAGAGATTGCCAGCAAATTTATGCTAATGAGGTAATTTTCTCTCAGTTAACAAGATATGAAGAAACAACGTTTTACTTTTCGGCAGAAACGAAGCTTTCTAGGATGCCACTTTGAGAAAAGCTAGATTTTGGTTATTTTTTTTCAAATTTCCCAA